CAGCTGTTGTTCCCAGTCCATTCTATTCAACCACACCCTTAACTCAGGCAGCTAAACTCAACTATTTTCCTTTCACTCTACATGTCAGAATTTGTATTCCCCCTTCCTATTGACTTTCCTGTTGACCAAAATAATAAAATAAATTCATAGTAAACTGTGGTTATAGCCACCTGTAACCTTCCCTTCTCTTCAAGAAAATTTGCATTGAAAAGATCAGTAAACTCAATGGAATGGTGAATTACTTTAATTTCTGGAAATTGAACAAAGGGCAGAATGTTCTGCTACAATTCATGTTTCTGTAAAATAAATTAACTCAATTGGTTAAGCAGAAGAAGGATGTCAGTATATAATGTGGAAGTTGGTTGATTCATATGTGATAATTCCCAGTAATATTTAGCACCACTACGTAATAGCCACTGAACAGGAAATACATTGATACAGCTGAATACAACAAGCCAAAGAGGAACGTACTACACCCTACATTCCTCCTATTGGCTGTTTGGCCTCATTCTGTGTTGGAAATGTTTATTAAACCTTCTCCCAATCTTTGTGAATTTTACTTCATTTGTATAAGTAAACCTTATTTCCTTCCATCAAGCTATCTATACTTTATTTACTGTAGTGCTTATTAGGAATTTATCTTTTTTAATCATTACTATTTTTACTAGAATTAGTAGTATTTTGTTAGTACTCTTGGTTACAAAGTTACATAAGTTCACCCAACCTATTTTTCCTTTAAGCTGTTATTTTTATTGAACAATTTTGTAGAATGTGAGGGTTTTTCACAAATCATGTATCACATGATTGCAGGAATACCTGTAAAGTATTTTAAAAAGTGTGGGGAGAATTTTGCATTCTATCCCACCTTCTTTCTTTTTGTCCTTCCTTTTTTTCTAGGGAGCAACCTGGAGAATGAAAAGGAGGAATTTTTTTTTTTTTCTTTCTCTCAGCTACCTATATTCTAAGTGTCTGCTATAAGTGTTTAAAGCTACTCAATCAATTAGAATCTTCACCTGTCTTCCCCTACAGTTATTATCAATAATGATGCATTTAATTATCAAAGGTTCCAAAGGAGCACAATTCCAATGTTATTGGTTATGTCTTAATTTTTATTAAAATTCTCTTAGTGTTTAACCAGGCCCAAGATTCTTTGTTCCAAATGTCTTTTCCTACGAGCAGGTATGGTATTTTGAGAAATAGTCTCATTCTATCATTTTCCTCCTTATCATGACTTAAACTGTTCTGACACATTTTTGGAAAAGGTTTAGAAGTCTACAACTCTCCTTTATTGTTGTGTTTAAGATTTAATCAGGGCCTGTTCTAGGCTTAGAAAAAGCTACAGAACATTCAAGATTTCCTTAAATTGTCTACATGGCTCAGTTTTCACATAATCAGAAATCCTGATTCTATAAAATGTAAAACGCTATAAAGTCGGCTAAAAGGATGGGATCAAATCAACTGTCCGTCCATATGAACGATTTGGGACACCAACTGTTGTAGGAAATAAAGGGGACACATTTCAGAGCCCTCTGGCTCTTTCTCTAACCTCCTTACGCTCAGAGCTTCTACAGGTTTTTCAGAAAGTAGGAAAATATTTTATGCCAAAAACAAAACAAAACAAAAAAACCAGAAAACAAGGTTACATAAATTCCAACAAAAATGTAGTACTTATTATAAATGAGAGAAATATAAATCAAGGAAAAATTGGAGGCCGGGTGCAGTGGCTCACGCCTGTAATCCTAGCTCTCTGGGAGGCCGAGGTGGGCGGATTGTTTGAGCTCAGGAGTTCGAGACCAGCCTGAGCAAGAGCGAGACCCCGTCTCTACTAAAAATAGAAAGAAATTAATTGGACAACTAAAAATATATAGAAAAAATTAGCTGGGCATGGTGGCGCATGCCTGTAGTCCCAGCTACTTGGGAGGCTGAGGCAGGAGGATCACTTGAGCCCAGGAGTCTGAGGTTGCTGTGAGCTAGGCTGACGCCACGGCACTCTAGCCCGGGCAACACAGTGAGACTCTGTCTCAAAAAAAAAAAAAAAAAAAAAAAAAAAGAAAAAATTGGAATATGGAAGTAGAGCCAGATGTAAAGCTAAAAAAAACACAAGTGCAGCGTTAATTTGGTTCAGCTCTCTAGTAGCCAATGTGAGAAGGGTCACCTATCCAATATATTATGTCCATTAGCTGAAACAAACCAGTTATGTAGAGGACATGGATTTAATTTTGGAACTAACATCGGAGAATTTTTTCCTGAGGATTTCATAATCTATATGATATCATATCATGATATGGTATGATTTTTGCACTTGGAAGAAATTTTAAAGATAAGAGGGCTGGCTTCTCAACTCTGCTTCAATAGAGGTAAGATTTAGTTGGAATGAAGTCTTTCCACGCTAAAGAATGTTCGAAAATTTTTGATATAGGTAATTTTATTTTCCCTACTGTATAGTTCTTTGAGGGTGGAATATGCTTATCATAGAACTTAAATGTTTTATAGTTGGTATTTATGAAATCATTAAATAAATGAATAAATGCATAAAAAGATGCACATGTGGGAGAGGGGCCTCCACTGTCTCTAAATGCTTCCTAAGATTCATCTCTCCTGAGCACTGGGTAATGTGAAGTGTGAGGATACTATTAAATAATAAGGCTGGCCAAAGCAAAACATGAGGCAGCTTTGTTTGCTGGAGGTGTCTTTCACGTTCACCTTTTTGAACTCCTTTTGCCTACTTTTAGCCTCATCGGATGCCTCTCTGCTCTCCAGCACCAAGTATCTATGGCCAGAAAGGCATAGTGTTTATCTACCTTTACTACTGAGGATTCAGTTTTCTGGGGGCCTCAGAAAGAGTGCTACATTTAATTAGCTCTGTTAGGAAAATGGTTATAGGGGACACTTCAATGAGTGCCTAGTGCTTGTCAACCGTGAAATTCTATATACTTGAAGTGTTTCTTTGAGGCCTATGAGATACATCTCCAATGAGACCTCCTTAGGCTAGGGACTTTCCCTTTCCTTCGTTCATCAAATGATCAAAACTGTTCTCATCCATTCAAGTGGTATATATTTTTCTGTTTTTAATTAAAACACGCAGGATTCGGCTGTCCTGGTGGTGGCTCACGCCTGTAATCCTAGCACTCTGAGAGGCTGAGGCTGGAGGATTGCTTGAGTCCAGGAGTTCAAGACCAGCATGAGCAAGAGGGAGACCCCGACCACCCCCCACCCACCATCTCTACAAAAAAGAGAAAAATTAGCCAGGTGTGGTGGCACATGCCTGTAGTCCCAGGTACTTGGGATGCTGAGGCAGGAGGGTTACTTGAGCCCAGCAGTTTAAGGTTGCAGTGACCTATGATGACGCCACTGCATTCTAGCCCAGGAGAAAGTGAATCCCTGTCTCAAAAAAACAAACAAAAAACCCATGCAGGATTAATATAATTTAAAAAAAGTGAATTTTTAAGGGGGTTAGAAATTAAAAGACTTGTGTTCAAGATTCAATTGCCAAGAATTAGCTATGTAACCTTTGGCAAGTCCTTCAATATCTGTGTAACTCTTGTTCCTAGGATGTAAAATGAAGATAATTACCTGCCCTTTCTAACACCAAGACCATTCCAGTGTTTAGCCCATTATTGTTTATTTTACTTCCTAGTTTATCTTATGAATATATCTATTTGAAGGCAGAAACTGTGTTTTATTGGTTTGTATCCTAAATGCTTATTACAATGACTTTCACATTGTATACTCAATAAAATGTCCACTAGTCCAGTGAATTAATGAAAATACTTGGAAAATTTCACAGTGCTAAATAAATGTAAGCTATCTGAGGGAAGTAGGCAGAACTTTGCCATGTTTCCCTCTTCTTTGGGCCTGGTGGTTCCTGCCTGTGGCCCTAATGGCCCCAAGCAATCAGTATCAGTCCATAGAGACAGACTGGACAGTGCTGGGATGTTGATACATCTTACACTTTCATCCTTCTGGAAGTGTCCTCACTCCGAAGATCTTGGGTTTCCTTTAGATCATCTGTGTCCAGTGTCATACATTGCTCCTCACATACGGCCATGCTGATACTGTTGAACAATACCTGCAAAAATATCAAAATGCTGAATATTTTATTCTGTAGCACATTTTATATACATGCAAATGCTCCAGGTTTGCATAACTCTTCCATAATTACAACACTGAGGAGTTATTGAGATATTATGTATCAGACACTACATACTCACATGTATTAACTTATTGTATTCTCATATTTCTATGAAGTAGGTACTATTGTTATCTCCATTTTGCACATGAGAGCTTTGGAAAAAAAGAGGTGAAGTATTTTGCCCACGGTCATAGTTGAAAGAGTGGTAAAGCCTTGATTCCTGTGTGGGCTGTCTGGCTCCAAAGTCCATGCTCTTAACCATTATGCTATGCTAGCTCTATGACTAATTGGTTAAGTGCTATATATTTTTTTTTTTTTTGACAATTCATTTTTCTTTTGGGAAAGAGTAACAGAAATTTTGAAGCTTAGTTTGCTTAATTATGAAATATCTACCTTTTACTTCTATAGTTTCTCAAGTTTTAACTGAGGTTCTTTTGTGTGCTTATATTGGCAATGAGAACTCTATAGTATTCATATTTATAAAATATATAAAAAATAGAATTTGGAAGAGTGTTTTGATTTGCCCATACAGTAAAGGGATTGTTATAGAGAGTTCTTAAAAAAACAAACAAAACCACCAGAAATCTACTCAAAATCGCACATGAAAACACTAAATAAATGTTTCATTTAAAATATAGATGACCCTAAAATAAGGAGCTATTTTCTTTTGCCTCTAGCTTACACCAAGTCTAGCTTGCTATGACTGTAGCATTTATGTAACTATCCTGACAACGAAATGGTTAACACAATTATAACTGTACTGGTTGCTCTTCAATTATCTGATAAAGCTGATGATTTTATACATGTATGTCTTCCTCATAATGAAATATGTCATGTTTTAACACCAAATTTTAGCAAATTAGTTATAATACTTAAATACTTTAATATGTAATGAATAAAAGGGCAAAAAAACTCAGTTACAATAAATAAAATATTAGAGTACTTCAAAATGATTTTCACACCCATTTTTCTATTGGCATACAAAAGTTACCAGTATGTAATAACCATGCATTAAGCATAGTTTGAATTGTCCTGAAGTTATATTCTGAAGGGGTTGTAACCCTTTTGATAATATTAAAAAGGCAAAAAGCATAATAACTCATAGATAATACACAAGACTTCATCTATAAAAAGTGAGAATGCCAATGTTTTATTTGCTACAGGGATAAGGAGGGAAACATCAGTGAAATAAATTTGATAACATGACTCATACTTCATTACAAGTGATTTTCCTAAATTCACAACTTTCACATTTAGCTGAGCTAAAAAGAAAAAAAAACAAACTAAAAAAGGAACTTTCACTACTTGTAAGTAGGCCAAATCACATGATCCCTATAAATGAGTTTGAATGAGAATGAGAACACTTTTCTAGCTGAGAAAATATTTTCCTTAATTAAGTGAGCTTAAATAATTTACCCATGGTGATGAATAAGCTGTTGGGATAGGTTCAGAAACCTCTTCTACCAGCCTGTTTCATAGGAATTATACAAATATTTACTGTGGAACATACATGAAACATTTTCTTGGTGGTCTTAATAGTAAAGGTAAGAATTTTAAAGATCATAGTACTTTGCTGTCTTTCAGGTCTTTTTCTCCTAAATGTACCATCTGCATTTCTTAGATATGTTGTACAATTACATAAAGTCCATTTTACTTAATGGATTAACGTATTCAACCAACTTTAGCACCCTATGAAAGTAGTAAGAGTAATGAGAACAGGGCTATTTAAACTGCTTCCTCATCTCCTCCACTTCATTTTCAGTACTGAAATTTATTTAGAAAACAATGAGGAAGAAGTACCATAGCCTAGAGGCACCTAGGGACAGAGAGAATTCAGAGACTGAGAAAGCATGGCTCAGGAGAGATACCAAAGTCATATTGGAAATGTATGGAGTCTAAATTAACTTTTACCCTTTTCCCCAGCTTCATATTTAGAAAAGGTGTGAGGTGTCAGGAATGTGCATGGACCCTCCATCAACTGACATTTTCATTCGTGTTTATTTTTCCCACAAAACAAAAGAAATGGAAATACAAGTGCTTGGTACTACATGCTTCCAAGGCTTAAAAGCCCATTAACAAGCACGCCGTATCCGTCGTTGAGGGGGTAACTTTTCAAAATAAACATCGCCAGAAGAATCTCCTCAGCCACTGAAATCACTCTCCCTCCCAGCCATGAGGGAAAAGGGAGACGGTGATATCGCCCCCTACTTGCACGTGGGATCTCCCTTTCTCCTCCGACCTCCCTACCCTCTCCCACGCAGGTCAGGCTGCCTTGGGAGGTAGCTGGGAGAAAAGGCAAAACTCAGTCTTCCATGGCAAAGTCTTTGGTCTTTTCCTCCTGGTCCCCCACTCTGTAACGCAGCAGCACGCGCAGGCGACGGGGGTTGTCCCGGGAGGGCAGCAGCGTGACCTCTCCCGAAACGTCCGTGTCTTGCTCCACTTGTACGGGCTCGTTCAGGTAGAGCAGCGCCTGCTTCCAGTGGGTGGCCGGATGAAAAGGTGAGGTGGACAGCACCAGGGGTTTCTCTGAGTCCCCTCCGGGGAAGGTCACCTGGAACCAGATGGCAAAGCCGTGCATGGGCGCCGAGCCATAGCAGCTGCAGCGGAAGCGCCCGCCCACGCCAGCCACCAGCTCCTGCTCCAAGCCCGCGCGGGCCAGCTCGAGCTGAGCGAAACGCTGCGGCCGGGCCAGCACGTCCTCACCGGACAGGCCCTGAACCACGATCTCCGAGTGGCCCATGAGGCAGCGCGTAGCGAAGCTCTCCAGGCAGCTCATGTCCACACCGTAGTGCTGCTTCACCTGGCTCCAGAAGCCCAGGCGCCACTCCAGCATCTGGTCGCTGATGGGGGCTACGAAGAGCTCGGCGGAAGCTGGCAGGAGAAGACCGCCCTCCTTCAGCCACTTGGTCCGCGCGTGGAGCACGGAGCTCAGCATGGACTCGTGCAGGAGTCCGTAGCCCATCCACTCGCTCACGATGGCATCCACCTGCTCCGGCAACTCCACTGTCTCCACGGGCCCGGGCAGGACGTGCACCCGGTCTTCCAGCCCGTTGAGCCGCACCACCTCCCGGGCCTGCTGCCAGATGGCGCTGGCCTCCACCGCGTACACGCGCCGGGCCCCGGCCTGCGCACAGAAGATGCTTAGAATGCCAGTGCCCGCGCCCACGTCCAGCACCGTCTTGCCCCGCAGTGCTGCCCAGTTCCGCAGGATGCCTAGGCGGTAGGCATCGGTGCGGACCCGGTCCGCGATCATCTCCTCGTGGACCGAAACGTCCGAGTAGCACTCGTAGTACAGCTGGTCCCGCTCCCGCTTAGTCCTCCTGGGTCGCTGCAGGGCCGCCTCCCGCTCCCCGCCATCTTCCTCCTCACTTCCCTCCCCTCCTTCGCCGCCGCCCCGCGACTCAACCTTTCTTTTCTTGGGCTGCGACATCTTGGCCGCCGCGGCCGACTCCCGGCGGGCGTTGCGCGGCTCGGCGCGGGCTCCAGGAAACCGGGGCTTCTGGGACTTGTAGTGCGCGCTCGCGAGCCTCACTTCCTGCGCGGTAGCTCGAAGGTCTCCCAGCCATACCCAGCTTTCATCCTGCTCCTCTGGTGCCCGGGCATCCCTTTTCCCTCCGCTCCCTTACCTGAATTTGCAATTCTTTACTCGCCCCACATTCCCTAATCTCCTCAGATCTCTTTTGCTTTCACTCCCTTCCTGAAGTAGACAGGCCCACTTAAGGCTACAAATCCACTTTTGTCTTGTCGGCTGAACTCACCGGTTTTATGCCACTGAGTTATCATGGCGGCCTTACCTCGATGTGCAACAGTTAAAGCTCTCAATACGTGGCGACTTAGAAATTGCACTACGCATTTTTGTTTTCTGTTTTTAGTGGAGTTAGGGGACAAAGAAGGTGTAAATGGAACAAAATAATAACCTAACAATACGAAACCTTGGTTCTGATTGCAATGCGAATTTTTTTTTTTTTTTTGAGACAGGGTCTGGCTTTGTTGCCCAGGTTGGAGTGTATTGGTGCGGTCATAGCTCACTGCAGCCTCAAACTCCTGGTCTCAAGCGATCTTCCCGTCTAGGTCTCACAAAGTTCTGGGACTTAAAAGTATGAGCCATCACGCCTGGCTAATGTGACCATTTATTAATTGAATGATTTAGGGCAAATAATAGAACTTCCCAGGGCTTTAATTGCGCATTCACTCACCAGCAACAAGGAATCTTCATTGTAGTCAGGGAAGAACTATGTTTTTGGTGTTTCTCCTGTCCATTTCAGGAGAACAGTTACTTGGTACTAGGTCCTGCTCCGATACTTCTGTGGCTCTTTAAAAAGTTAAGTCCTGGAAGGGCGTAGAATAAAGAGCCATTAAAAAGCAACAGTGGTGTGATACAATCAAACTTATTGCTAGGTATATTGTAGTAACCAATTTTTTCTCTGAGAAGTAAAAGAATCCTTCATCCCTTTTGATCACTTTTCCACTACAACTCATTTTTTCCTATGTGTCTCCTGTCTGGGCAAGATTGATACTCTCCTCTGTCTCTTCTATTTTTCTTACAGTCAACCATCAGCTGTTAATCTTTTCCCTTTTTGTTGTTCATAATGGAAATAAAATGTATTTTAAAAAATGTGTGATATCTATATGAGTGTCTGTATTCTTCACAAGTAAGATGAGAATAGCATTTTCTCCTAGCTTGGAAGAAAGATCACACAGAAGAAAACTGACTTTTATTTTCTTGTGGTCTTGAACTATGGCCATTTAACCAATGGGCCTGCATTCCTTGTCTGGGAGAAAATTTCCTTCACCTCATTCTATTAATCTTTCATTAATGGAATAGGTTTATTGTTGTGGCATCCTTAGCTGTACTGTACTTCTAACTCAAGACTCTCAGTCCTGGCTGCTCATTAGAATCCTCTAAGGAGCTTTTAAAAAATAGCTATGCCTGGGTCTACCTCAGACCAATTATCTCAGAATCACTCCAGTGGAACCTGGGCATCTAGTTTTTGAAAGCTCTCCAGGGAGTGCTAATGTGCAGCTAGGGTGGGAACCACTGTTTCTCCCTAGAATAATCTTAGTTAAATCTTGCTTCATTATTTTCATTGTTTAAATTATGTTTTTTCATTGTCCAAGGCTCAACTGCTTACAGCTAAAAATCCCTAAGGCAGTTCTTCTCTCTTTGTGCCTTGGCTCAATACCTTGTTTTAAGAAACTTGAAGCCCAGAGTAGGGCATGGAATTAGAGTTGTAAATGTGACCATTTAATACATTACTTTTAGGCTGTCACGTAGTATATTAGTTATACATACTTCTCCCGTTTTTTCTTTCTTTTAAAATTTCATCTCTTCATTTTAAATGCATTCACTTCACCCAATTTTCAATTTGCTTCCTTGTGGTCTCTTTTAAGAAAATTCTGAATAGAGGTTTTACTGGTTCTACCTCCAAAATATATCTTGAATTCATCTGCTTTTCTCCATTTTCATTGTCAAAACCCTAGTTTAATCTTTCATCTTTACTTGCCTGGAAATCAGCTTCCTAAGGGATCTCCAGCTTCTAATCACACCCCTGTGTAATCCCTTCTCCACATAGCTGAAAAAATAAGCTTTTAATTTTCAAGACCCAAATTAAAGCGTATCATTCTCTAGTAACTACCCATTTCAGTTACTGAAACAATCCAGTAACTTCCGTAACTTCCCATCTAATCTCATACCGTTTTTCCCTACTCCTCATTGGGGTCAAGATATACAGGCCTTCAGCGGAGCCCAGTGGCTCATGCCTGTAATCCCAGTGACTTTGGAGGCTGAGGTGGGAGGATCACATGAAGCAAGGAGTTTGAGACCAGCCTGGGCAACTGAAAAAAGGATAAGAAAAATAAGCTGGGCTTGGTGGCACATGCCTGTAGGCCCAGATACCCAATATCCTGCGGCAAGAGGATCACATGAGCCCAGGAGTTTGAGGCTGTAGTCAATTATGATTGTGTCACTGCACTGCAACCTGGGAGATAAGGCAAGACCCTATCTCTAATAAATAAATAATTAAATAAATACTGACCTTCCAATGTTACATTTCTTCCTTGTGTCATGTCTTCACTTATGCTGCTTCCAATGTTACATTTCTTTCTTGTGTCATGTCTTCACTTATGCTGCTTCCAATGTTACATTTCTTTCTTGTGTCATGTCTTCACTTATGCTCTTTCAGTGCCTGGAAAATTGTTTTTCCACTTAGCACTTCACTTCAATGGCTTCTTCTCATCCTTCAGGTTTCAACTTAGATGTTACCTCCTGAGAAAGGCCTTCTCTGGCTACTTTAAATGATATTCTCTAATCCAAGACACTATTTCCTTCCTAACTTTTATTATTCTCTGTATGTACTTAATTAGTTTTCTAAGCAATATAAACTCTAGGAGACTTGGACTTCTGTTTCTCCACTGTTGTAGTCCCTAGCACTAGAATAGAACCTGGCACACAGAAAGTGCTCAATAGACACTCTTGAAACAAGACTATTGTGGATGAAAAGTTGTTATACATGGAAGAAGAGACAGAGTTTTGCTTTTTTCTTTCAGTGTGACGATGCGACTCTGGTAAACTCTGAGATAAATCCAGGTATAGATCAAATATAGAATGCTTCCAGAAATGAGAAGTTTCATTTTTAAATGCTCTTAACCCTTCTACATACAATAATGGTAACTCCCAAATATTATACCCAAGGTAGAGAAGAGAAGGCTTATAGCACTTTCCTTTGTACACTTTGGCTCGTTGTAGAGAGGGAGTTCTTTACTGATCTTTTCTACAACACTGAGTTGTTTAAGTAGGGTGAGGGCCTGGATCACAGTCCTGCCTTGAGCACTGCAGCGCAGCAGCACAACACCTGGGTGGGAGAAGAGCTGGAGCTGTGCGGCGGAGCATTTGCTGTGTTTCTGTCTCGGTGGTCTGCTTGCCACATCTATCCGATGCTCAAATCCAGTGTTTTTCAAACAAATGATCTTGAAATCAATTCAGTGCATCTTGACCAGTACTAAAAAAGATTAAATAGATCAGAAAATCTTAAATATGTCAAATGAATAAAGGTAGGTATTGTTTCATAGAACTTGTTTCGGTCAAGTATACTGTATGTATATTTCTTACTTCAGGTTATGGTTAAAAAGTTCAAAATCCACAGTTTACTTTTCTCCAAAAACACTGTGAACTTTGACATTTCTGTTCCTTTGCTTTGGGTGCTTGTACTCTTTTGTCCTCTCACTTGTCTTTTTAGATAATGCTCAAAAGTTATTTCTTTGTAGCTTTTTCAACCAGTCTGTGGTCCTTTTATACTTACATATAGCTAATTTTTTTTTTTAATTTATCTCATTGTATCAGAGTGATTTATATATCTCGATTTCCCATGCCAGACTGTGGTCATTGGAACACCAAGACTTTATATTTTTCAATTTACACATTGTGCTAGAATTTGAACCATTTCCATAGTACAGATTGTTGATCCTGAGTGTTGAATGGGAAAATCATAATTGATTTTCTGTATCACACATATTCATTTATTCATTTCATATATTCATTTCAACCATTCATTTATTCAATAAACATTCTGGACTTCTCTGCACTAAATTTTATTCTATAAACAAGGAATATAGTAAACAAAAGGACAAACATCCTTATCCCTGAAGAGCTTATAGTTTTGTGTTAATGCTATGTTATCTATTATTCTTATACTTTCTTACTAACAAATTATTATACCACTTTTAAATCTCAACTCTCTTTCCTGTATTATTTTATCTTGGATGTGCTGATGTGATTTTGTCCTATAAATACTTATTTCTAATTTCTTTTCCTCTTTAATTTGAAGGTCTGTTGTTTAAAAATGTGTTTTAAAGCCTAGTATGAGGACTGAAGATAGTGCCTTCAGGATTTCAAGAAGTCATTGTAATTCTCATTGTGTTGAGGAGGGTAAAGGAGCAATGACATGAAAAATGTTATAAATATCTCTTTGATATGAATATTCATTAATGATGTAGTTCTTGCTGTTCTGCAGTTACTTGGAAGCTGCAAGCATAGAAAGAGGCCCTTTTGTCAAAAAAAAATCTTTTATAGAAAATAAAGACAAAAAGTGGTGATTTTTGTATTTAAACAAATTGTAACATCAAACATAAAAAGCCTAGGTATCTGTTATTCTCTTGAATATAGTGTATTGGCCCAGCTATTAAATCCAATACTAAAACAGATGAATAGCAAATTCATAGCTCCCTGACGATGATATTATGAGTGGATCTAACTCTTTTAAAAAGCGTTTATATTGAGTTGTTTAGGTAGTGACAATAGGGATATTATATACTTTATCCATGATTATCAACTCAGTTTATATTTATTGAGACCTCTTAGAATATAGAACATGGCATTTTAACAATTTCTACTATAAATTAGGCCACCATAATAAGAATAGTATAGAAAAATCAAAATGTAAATTATAATGTGGGGAAAAGTAATGTATCCGTGCATCCGTGGAAATAAGCACTTGCTCACCTGCCCCAGGTGTAATGAGAATCA